CTAAAATAACAAATATCTTCTCTAATCTTTTGATAATAATTTATTTAAGATGATCGTCAACAGTGACAAGGAGTTGCGTGATGCACTCAGTCAATCCAAGGGAAAACTCAAACTCCATACGACTTTGACCGATGGCAAAGTGATATCTGCAACGGAAATCGCTGGACGACAAATGCGATCCCATAGTGTGCCGCCAGCAGTGGTAAGATTTAGCCCTTTTTCTGGTGGAAAACATGTTTTGCTGCATTTTCTTTCAAGAAAGGTCATTTATATGAGGTAAGAGCTTCTTAGCCATAAACGCATTAGAGATTAGTGCAAACGTCATAGTCTATTCTTTGCTTATCCCGAGATCTTGCCCTTTTTTGGTTACCAAAAGAGGTTAGGAGGTTTAAGGTTCTTTGGATGCATTTATGGGCATCAAGGTGCTCTTTAGTGAATAATTCACGTCTAAGGAAATAAACCACTTTACAAAGGGATAGGTAAACGAAAAGCTATGAAGCTGCATAGATAAAAGCTAGAAAATTGGGGAAATCTACATCTAACGTTATTTCCAGGGAGTATATCTCAGTAAAAGTGGTCTACATTCCTTTTATTTAGGATCGAGGATATCAGTCCTACCCACCAGCAAACTCTCGTTCTCCATCATCTATAGACTCAGCTACAACATCCTTCCGTAATCGAACACTATCTCCACCGCCCACACCATTAACAACTCATCAGAAACAACCACCACTACCACTTGGCCCAGGAATACAGGTAACTCGTCCTGCTCACGGAAAACTCGTCATGAAAGAGTCAGGGTGAAAAGAGAGTACAAGGACAACTAGCCAAATTAGGATATGTTTCCCAGAATAATGAAAAATGAAATTTTACCTCAAATGCTGTGAAGCGGAAGAAATCCTATAAATATCTAAAAATCGATTCCAGATGAAACCACCGGGCTATGGATACAGCTATTCAACCTATGGACCGTACTCCCAGAATCTTGTTTATGGAATGCCACCACATAGTGGAATGTTGCTGAGGTAAGCTTAGGTTTTTCGATTTTTTCCCCCAAAAAATCCGAGTTAAATTTTTTTTTGCTCAAAGTACCTTTTGCAGATTCCTGGAAAGCCCATTCCCATTCGACTATCATCGAAGTTTCGTTGGACCAAACAAGTATCATCATTTCGGAGGTCCATGGGGTGGATACAAAAACTATTCCGGATGGGGATCAGTTTGGTAAAAGTCCCCTTACCTCCCCTTCTTCTTCTCCAAAAAAAATCTCTCAATGTTGATGACTTATTTCTGGATTTTTGAACAGGTGAAATTGTG